GGGTGACGCCGATGCAAGTGCCTTGGAGGGCCATGTCGACGTTTTTTCAGGCGGGGCGCGGCCGGCGAAAGCGGCCAGGGATGGGCCGAGGAGGCAAGGATGCAAGGGTAACCTTGGGAAAGTCGCCCATCCTTCCTGTGCGGTTTGACTGCAAGACACGAGTGTGGGCCCGCATCTCCAGCCCAGTCGCCGCAAAGCAGCGGCGGGCTGCTTGGTGCGCTCGCGGGGCGGGAGGCCCGAGAATCGGTCGGCATCGAATCAGCCAATCGGAACAAGTCGAGGTTTATGTTGCCCCCATCGTACTTAAAGACCACATCCCAGAAATAATTGCGAGCACCCGGAAAAGTGTCAAAAGAGTGCCGAAACGGTGTCGGTCGAATGTCTCCCAGGGCCCGACACGTGAAAACCCTCGAGTTTCGGTACTTTTTCTGGCGCTCGAAATTCTGAAGGGGCCCTGGGACACACAAATAAATAGACACAAATGACAGGATTCCCCATCATTTCCAATATGTTCTTTGTTTTTGTCTTCCCCCCCACTTCCCATATCTTCCCATACATGTTCTGGGGAATCGACGATTACTTGTGTCTGTGTGTGTGGTTTTTCCCCCTCCTGAGATTCCTTCTGGTGGTCAAGGCTAAAGCAGGCTGGAACATCACACGCCGAGGCGTGCATCGGGCCAGGCTGCACCGGCACGGCACCGGCATCGAGCCGGGCCTCGGCCGCGCCGGGACATGCACCGACAGCGCCGTGCAGGCTCCGGGCCGCAGGGGGTCGCCGGCACCTCGGCAGCGAACCAGGTCGGGCTGGCTGGAGGCGATCTCGAGGATCGATCGGAATGGACCCCAGGGCTGGGGAGAGGGACGGGGGGTCGTGGATGGAAGCGACCGCCCCGTCTCGCCAGGCCGGTGAGCGGGGGGGGCCGGGCGCCGTGGCCCGCAGGGGCACGAGGGTCCCCTGAGAGCAGAGGCCAGCGAGAAGCAGCGAGAGGGGGGGGGGAAGAGCGGAGGGGAGAGGGAGAGGAGGAGGAAGAGGAGGGGCAGAGGGAGAGGAGGAGGAAGAGGAAGAGAGAGAGGAGGGGGGGAGAGCGGAGGGGAGGGAAAAGCAGAAGAAAGGGCAGGGGGAAGGAGGAAGAGGAGGAGGGAGGAAGGGGAAGCAGCAGCTGCGCAAGTGGCGCAGACTCCCGCGCGAGCGCGTGCCTTCGCACGAAGGCCGATCGTGTCGACCAGCGTCTGCACGTAGGCGGCCTTGGCCTCGCACGAGCAAGCCCCAGCGAGGGAACGGGTGAGCGGGAGGAAGATGAGCCAGACGATGGAGAGTCCAAAAAAAGTACATTATCCGCTGGCAAAGTAAATGGAATGCAGACGATACCATGGGCTCTATGGCAGGGCGGCGGTAAAGCTCCCAATGGCGAAGTTCTCGGGCTGAGCACCTGTCTCCGTTGGCACAAAAACTGCCGAAGCAAGGCACACTCACGGTGAGCGCCTCCGAAGTTCCGCCTGTGTCGATCGATCTCTACTCAGCCTTGCACGTCAGAACGATGATCAACCACGAAGAACTGTGAAATCTCAAACTACAGCAACGCGGAGCTGCCGCCCCCCAAGCCAAAAACGCCTCTCCCACGAAAACGCCACACGTCCTCTCATGACCCCGCCGGCTCTGAGCTCGAATGCCAAGAGTGAAGTGAGAGCCCACATTGCTGGTGAGGGGGGCGAGGCCCAACGCAGCTGGGACCCCACCTCGCTCTACCCCCGTTCACGTAAAGCCCCTTCTCGGGATTCGCTTACGGGGGGATACGAGCCAGAACGGCAGCACGTCCGCAAGCCCAGGGGGGATCAGCCTTACAGATACAAGGATTCGAATCTGTCTGCTCTTTCGCGGGCACTGGGCGATGGTGCATGAAGAGGTCTTCGCAATCCGTCGTCTCATTGCATATGGCGGTATCTGAAAACACAGATTTTTGCTGCCGCGCTTCACGGCGAAGAGAATCCGCGTATGCGAGGCTGAAATTCGCGGAAGCAGACTGCGGAATTTTCGCAGTTCTGGGCCTGCTGAATGCAGCCTGGCCGAATCGTGTCTCGCCTAATCCAAAAGTCATCGTTAGTGCGAGCATCGGGGACGGCCCAATTCTTCCTACGCTATGGCTGCGGTCATAGCCGCCGACCGAAAACTGTAGCATCGTCCGCACCGTGATGGGGCCGTTGAAACTACAAGAAAAAGAATCTGCCGACCCCTGCTTGCCAAGAGTGACAAAAGGTGTGAGAGGTTTGGCTCCCCCCTCCCTCACTCTCCCGGCTGAGGGGGACCAGGAGCTCCTCAACGCACCTCTAGAACCCTGAAATGCCTACAAAACGGTCCTGCTGGTACAGTCGGACCTAGGCCAGAAGAACATCCCTCAAGAACATGAGACCCTCCGTCGGCCAAAACAAACAGTGCATCCACGGGTACCCTCCCCTGGAGGCACAAGAACGCTCCGCACACACGAAGAGCACCAGGGTGCCCTCCCCGAGCCGACCTCGACTTTATGCCTCGCTCCGGCTGCACTTCCAGTGCGGCCCCAGACAGGCGACAAAGACGACGACGACGACGACAACGACGAGGACGACGACGACCGGGTCTCTCCCCGCCGCACTGGCGCTGCGCGCTTGCACCCCCGTGGCGCCCAGACGGCCTCTGCGGTGGCCCAAGCAGGACCCCAGGAAGACTCCGCAGCGCGCCTGGAGCCCGTGCCCATTTGGACGCCCGAAATGGGTACGGAAAGAATGGGCACAATGCCCAGCAACAGATGCTGTCCCAAACCAGCGGCGGCTGCTGTCGGGCAGGCGGCCTTCCGCCTGAAAATGCACACAGGCCGCGGCGACACCGACGGCGAGCCCTTTGCATAATGAACAGGCACTGCTGCTGGGCATCGTACCCATTCTTTCCGTACCCATTCCGGGCGTCCAGAGCCCAGGGCCGTGCCCGTGCCGCGTGGCGTGGCCCGAGGCCTCCCCCCGGGGGCGCGGGCGGGCGCCGTGCCCTTCTGGGCCACGTCCTGGGGGCGTGCCCGAGGCCAAAAAAGCCGGCGCGGACGACGGAGCCCCGGGGGGGCATGCCTAGACTTAACGGGCGAAGAACGGTATAAGGTAAACTTTTTCGCTGTCGGGGGCGCCTGTCCCTGGGCGGCTGGAGAGTTTATACCCTTACGGTGGCACCGTCGGGGTATAAACTTTCCAGCCGCCCAGGGACAGGCGCTCCCGACAGCGAAAAAGTTTATGTTATACCGTTCTTCGCTCGCTGATAGACAGACGAGCGCGCTCCACTGCTCGCAAGAGTGACTGCTCGCACATGGCCTGGATCCCTCGCGGGGGATCTACGCTGAACTGCATGGAAGCAGGCACGTGCTTTTCGGACGTTTGCGAGCAGGCTCTCTGCGAGTGGTGGAGCGCGCTCGGTGAAAATGCCTGCGGACCTGCCCTGTGGCCGCGCCTGCGTCTGGGGACGCGACCAGGGACATGCCGGGAGCCGTGCCTGGAAACGCGTTCGGTGGCAACTCACGGGAGCCTCCCATACCCATCTCGTCGGCTCTTGCGAATCGACGCTAGTCGACGCTAATCGACGCTAAAGCGACGCGGAATCGACGCTAGCCGACGCTAAATCGGCGCTTTCTTATCGGCTCCAGACGCTCGCCGACGCTAATCGACGCTAACGACGGAATTCAAAGGGTGTACCAGGCTCCCATGATTTGCTGCCGAAAACGCGCTCGGAGAAGTGGCCGGGGGACCTCTCACGGGATGCGCCGGAGCTCGACCTGAACGGTGTTTTCCGTTTTCGTGTTGTTTTTTCGCTCTCCGCTCCTGTTGGCTCCGCTCCGCAGTTGCTGCAACACGGCGTCGACGCGAGAAAAACGGTCCGCGAGATCGCCGAGACACCGTTTTACATACGCAGGCCCTGGTCAGGGATGTGCCTGGGCCACGCGTCGGGGGGCGTGCCCCAAGACGGCCGGGGGCGTGCCTCTACCTGGTGGCATGTCTGGGGGGCGCCGCGGGGCGCACCGCTGTCTGGCCATGGGACGCAATCCTCGAGCGGGCGCTCCCGGGCATGTCCCCCTAAAGGCGGACTTTGGACGAGTTTTAAAAAATAGTCGAAAACTACTCCAATCTAGCCGAAAAATGCTCCAAAAACCGTCCACAGACGATTTTTGACCACTTTCAAATATTCCTCCTGTAGAGGGACAGGCCCGACTTAAACCAAGAGTCATCCTGAGACGCACCAGCGTCTGGACCTGAAACGCACCGGCCTCGAGCGGGGGCACGCAACGAATGCACCTTAACCGGTCCTGAGGCGCACGACTGTCTGGACCTGAGACGCACCATCCTCGAGCGGGCACGAACGGAATGTGGGTCCAGGGATCAGGCACGGATTAGCGGCGGATAACCACGACGGGAGCTGACGACCCCCCAGAAGCGCTTCTGTGGTGGCGTTGCACGACCTCTACCAAAACCCTTGAGCAGAACGTTGTACGGGAATGCAAAGACAGGCGGATGTGGCGTCAGCCAGATGAGGTGAATCACATCAACGAGAACTAGGAACCAGCGGTCATGATACCCCCACTGCCCGAACCTGCTCAGGGGGTCGAACGCATACAGTCAACCCGTACAATAAGGATGCGCGGTAAGGATGCAAGGGCCTTGGAAGGCCATGTCGACACTTTGCGAGCGGGGCGCGGCCAGCGAAAGCAGCCAAGGATGGGCCGAAGGGGAAGGCTGCCAGGGCAACATTGGGTACCCTTGGAAAGTCGCTCATCCTTACTATGCTGGATGACTGCACGAACTCATCTCCCACACGTTTGCCGAAACCGCTTGTTGCCAACTGAAAACGAAGCAACCCAAAACTTCGGCAGCGCCGGCGCGGACGGCTTTGAGCCAGGCGGCGCGAAACCCAGGGAGCGCAGAGCAGCACTAGCTGTGGGACGAAGACGCCGGCACAGTGCACATTCCAGGACCCATGGAACACGAGATCCTCAGCGAGACGCCTTCATGCCGAGGAGCTGTGTGCCGCTCGCTGCGCGCTTGCCCCTCGCGATGGCACGGTTCACGAGCGTCTCGAAGACCTCTGATGGGCCTGTTTTCCACCACCACCACCATACCTTGGAGAGGGAGAGGGTCCTCCTCCTCCTCCTCCTCCTCCTCCTCCTCCTCCTCCTCCTCCTCCTCCTCCTCCTTCCCCCCTCCAACGTATGGTGGTGGTGGTGGAAAACAGGCCCATCAGACCTCCTGCTGCTGCTGCTCCTTGCCGGCGCACATGCCCACGATGACGCTCTTCGGGGCGAAAGAGCAGTAGAGGCACGCCTCCAGAAAGTAAGGCTCGCCTTGTGGGTCGATGCGCACATCGTAGAGGCTGTAGTCTCTGCAGCCGAGCGCCTTGTGGCTGCTCACAGCCAGGTGCCTGAGCTTCTCCCTCAGCACGTCGTCGATGTCCGCAGGGCATTTGCGCCCGCCAGTGGTGACCGTGACAGGCACGCCGCGGCTGTCAGTGACCAGCTTGTCATTGGACGCTCGAATCGGACTCTCCTCCGACAGGAAGTACTCCAGGCACGGAAGCAGCTCCAAGGATCCGTCCTCCCCCTCCAAGACGGCACACCTCACCTCGCGGCCGAGAGGGATGTACCGCTCGCACAGGACCTCAGAGTCGAAGCTGAAGGCCGTGTCGAGCGCCTCCTCTAAAGACTGGCCGTCCTTGCCGGTGAAGAGCGTGATGCCCATGGATAGAAAAAGAAAAAACTGCATCAACACAAAGCGTCTGAGGCCCGCACAAATATCTTGCATCGGCACTGAAGGCGACGCCAGGGTGGCCCAGCGCCGATCCAAGAAATCCGCACGGAGACCGAAATGTTATGTTCATGCCGTTGTTTCTTCTTCAAATGGAGTTGTCCTCGTTACACGGCTTCAGAACGAAGGGCGGCTCCATCTTCGGCCTGTCGCCCCTGTGCAATATCTCGGCCTCGGGCACCCGCACGCCACCAGCAGCGACAACGGCGCGGGACTGCGCCTTGTTTGTGGACAGGGCCATGACTCCCGCGTCGTTCCCGACTAAAGGGAAGCCCAGGGCGTCGAAAAGGGCACGGTAGGTAGTCATGCCTGGGAGGCAGAACATGTGCGGAACCACAGCTGACGGAGACAAGTCCTTGAGGATCTGCATTGCCTCTGGCAGGTCCACCCGACGGGCGGCTGTCTTTTTCTCAGTGGAGAAATCTTCGGGGAAACTCCAGGAGCCGTCCATGTGCACCATCGCAATGCGATTGTCGAACGTGCCATGAGTAACCACTTGTTCGAAACACTGGCTCGCGTAATAAGCGGAAACGCCCTCGTAATATTCGCTGGCGCGGGAACCGCACAAGTGGACAACGACCGGCTTACATCCGACGGCCATGGCCGCAATGTCAGAACTGCGCTCGAGGCGATTACAATGCGCAATGGCCCAGGGCTAGAAAACAGCGCACGCGTCTTGAGCCAAAACGGCTTGACCCGAATCGCTGCAAGCATCGGGCGGCTTACGCTGAGATCTGCTTGCGAATACTGTATCAGGGACCGCTGTCAAACTATCGGAAGCAAGCGAAGAGGGAACCTCGCACATGGGCTTTCGGCCAGTCCCCATACAACTGTGTCCTGAGCTGCTGTTGCGACTCCCCCAGGCTGGGCCTTTCTACTCCCCTCGTCAGCCCAAGATTGCAGCTTGCGAGAGGGCTCGAAACCCATAGCGGCAACATCCTGTTAACCACCTCTCGCGGGAGACACCCACCACTCCGATGCCCTGGTTGTCTGAAGGGCGCGGACTTGTAGCAAGTCGACGGCCCACCAAGGGTTCCAAGCATTCAAAACCAAGAGTCTGCCCCCCGGACAAAATCCCGTAATGCTAAGAGTGCCGCCCACTCCCCGCTGGCAAGAGCAAGCGTGTTCGATGCTTTGTTTAGCAGCTGTTGCAAGGATGATTCAGTGTCGAAGTCGTGGTGAGTTGGAAGAGCGGGAGAATGAGCTCACGACGCCGTGGCCGCGAGGGTCTGCGCTACCGCTGTATGTAGTGTGGTCGAATAATGTCGTCCAACAATCATATTCGATCGCGTGCGATGCGCATGAGCACATTGCAAATGTCCAAACCGCTTCCTACTAGCAATGTGGCCCATACGCCAAAAGGCGGACAATCATATATGTTACCAGCGCGAGCACTAAACTCCCCATGGAAAAAAACAAACGGGAGAGATGAGAAAAGGAGAATGCAGGTCGAAAATGTACGGCGCGCCTGAGTGGACGAGCACACACAAAACAATGGCCCAAGGCCGTTGCCCCAACCCCACATGGTAATTTCACAGGCCCGCTCCATGGTTTCAGTATACGCGGGCCCTGGAACGCTCGAGACCCACACTTCCCAGGGATCAATGTTCGTGCTAGGATCGCCTTTTCCCGAGATGCCAGAGCCTGGAGGCTGCTTCCATGAAGGGGCCCAGGGACACACAGACAAGTAGACACGAGTCCCGGGGTTTTCCACACGTTTCATATGTCCTGGACGTTCTGCTTCCCCCCCACTTCCCATGTGTGCCGTATGTTCCTTGGAATCGACGGGTAGTTATGTCTGTGCGTTTTGTCCCCGCCTGATTCCAGACGCCGAACTGCGAAGAACGACTATCATTTCGTGTGTTCTGAACGTTGGGGGCGTGGACCCCTAGTCCACCCTAGAACCTCCACGGTGGAACGTTCTGGCCAGAAGCTCGGGGCGGGCCCAGCCGTGCGCCACAGGAGGCCCAGAATGAAGGGTGAGAGTGGGAACAACAAAACACAAAAACAAAAAGCACAAAAAAGCGGCGGCCGGCGGAGGCGGCGGAGGGAAATACGCGTGTTGTATCCATTTTATGTGTGTATATATATGTGTGTGTATATATGTATACATGTATATATATATATATGTATATATATATATATATATATATATGTGCCACCATGCCTTCAGCACGTAATGGAGTGCCCCAAGTCTCATGCAACCATGAGACCTGAGAGGCAGAGGGCTTGTAAGGTTCTTAAGGGCCCAGACCCCCCCCCACCTTCCCAGCCGCTCCTGGGAGCTCCTGGGAGCTCTTGGGAGCTCCTGGGAGCTCTCCAGAGCTTGAGAGCTGCCAGGAACCCTCGAGGGTGTCTCAAGAACCGCCTCAGATAACCTAAGAAAGCACCTGAAGGACCCAACACAGCTTCAAGACGGCCCCATGTGGCCCTGAGACGGCCCAAGAAGCCCACAAGATGCCCCGAGAGAGTCCCAAGAGCTCTCCCAAGAAGGCCCCAAGAGGCAAAATTCGTCCCAATCACTGAGGAAACATAGATATTCAACAGATTCGCCTCTTGGACTTCCTCAGCGTCCAAGACAGCCCAGGAAGCCCCCACGATCGCCCCCAGACAAGACACAGGATGCCCCCAAGAGGGCCCCAAGACGGCTCAAGAAGGACCCAAGACGGCCCGAGAGGGCGCCCAAGTTGGCCCAAAGAAGCCCCCAAGAGGCCCCAAGAGGCCCGGCCACAAGAAGCCCCCAAACGGCCCCCAAGAGGCCCCAAGAGGCTTCAAAACTTCCTCCAAGAGGCTCCCCAGAGGCTTCCCAAGAGACCCCATCAAGTACCCACAAGGCCTCTGACCCGCGATCCAGGCACGGCCCAAGAGACCCCCAAGATCGCCTCCAGAGCGCCCAAAAGGCCTCCAAGATGGCCCCGTGACGGTCCAAGAGACCCCCAAGACGTTCCAAAGAGGGCCCCAAGACGGCAAGATGGCCCCAAGAGAGCCCAAGATGGCCCCAAGATGTCTCCAAGACGGACCAAGATGCATCCAAGACAGCCTAAGACGGCCTCAAAGTGTCCCAAGACGGCCCAAGAACCCCCGAAAGGCCTCCAAGACGGTCCAAAAGGCCTCCATGAGGATTGTCCTAAGATGTTTGAAGGATGTTGGTATTCGCTCCGTTTCGGTCGTCCGACGGCCCAAGACGGCCCAACAGACACCCAAGATAGACCAAAGATCGCACAAGAGGCTGCCAAGAAAGCCCTACGACGGTCCAAGAAGGCCCAAAGACGGCCCAAGATAGCCCCAAGACACCCAAGATAGCCCCAAGATCGCCCAAGAGGCTGCCAAGATGGCCCTATGACAGCCCAAGAAGCCCCACAACGGCCCCGAGAGGGCCCAAAAACGGCCCAAGCGGCTCCCAAGACGCCCAAGATGGCCTCCGAGACGGCCAAGATGGCTCCAAAGACGGCCCAGAAGACTCAAGATGGCCACCAAGACGGTCCCAAGACGCCTCCAAGACAGCCAGATTTGCCCCAAGACTGCCCAAGATGTCCTCCAGGCAGCCCAAGAGGCCCCGAAGACGCCCATAAGTGGGCTCCAAGAGGACTTCCACGAGACCTAAAATCCTGCATGTTCCTTCGTTGCTTAATGCGTTGAACCTCCTAGCCTTTTCGGGCTTCCGACGTTCGAGAGAGAGAGAGAGAGAGACACACACACACACACACACACGTACACACACACGCACACAAGAGAGAGAGAGAGAGAGGAAGAGAGATGGGAGATCTCTGAGGTCTGAGTTTGGAAACGTCATCTCCCTCCCTCCCTCTCCATCCCTCTCCCTCCACCCTCTCCTCCTCCTCCCCCTCTTGCCCCTCCTCCTCCTCCTTCCTCCTCCTTCTCATCCTCGTCCTTCCCCTTTCTTGGGAAAACCAAGATTGATCCGTTAATCCCCGGACCTCTCCTGGGGTGCTTTCTGACCAGAATTTCGAGGCGAACCCAGCGGTGGCGACGAGGGCCTCCCAGGAGGCCCAAAAAGAGGAAAAACGAGCCAGGGGCAGCGGTATGGGTACCTCTTTCTCCTCCGACTTGCCCCCCTCCCTCCCTCCCTCCCTCCCTCCCTCCCCCCTCCCTCCCTCCCCCCTCCCTTTTCCAAGCTCCGCCCTCCCTCCCCCCCCTGGCCCGCCTTGCCGCTCTTGCGCTCGCCGGTGGCCTCCCCCCAGTGCTCCAGGCACAGAGGGCTCCTCGCCCGAGCCCGGGCGACGAAGGCCGCAGGCTGAGGGGGAGGGAGGGAGGGAGGGAGGGGAGGGAGGGAGGGGAGGGAGGGGAGGGAGGGAGGGGGGGAGGGAGGGGGGGAGGGAGGGAGGGGGGGGAAGGAGGAGGGAGGGCAGGGGCTGGGGGACGTGGGTGGGCGCGGGGTCGCAGGAGTCTGGATCCTAGGAGTCGAGGGGGTGAAGTCTTTGTGCCGCTGCCCTCAGCAGCTCGCTCCGGCCTCCTCGCGATCTCGCCGCCGGTTCAAAGAGGCTCCGTCCTGATGCCGCCTGTGCCCGTCGGCGGCCGTGGCCGCCGCTAGCCTTGCGCTTCGGGTGCGTGCGCCTCGCAGCTTGCGCCCCCCAAAAAAGGGAAGGGCAGGGCAGAGAGCGGGGAGCGAGGAGGAAGAGTTTCTCGTCCCTCTCTTCCCTCCCCCTCCCCTTCCCAAACGCCCTCCCTTCTCCTCCTCTTCTTCCACCTCCTCCTCCTCCTCCTCCTCCTCCTCCTCCCCTCCTCCTCCTCTTCCTCCTCCTCCTCCTTCTGTTCCTCCTCCTCCTCCTCCTCCTGCTCCTCCTCCTCCTCCTCCTTCTCTTCAACAGCAGCAGCAACAGCAGCAGCAGCAGCATCATCCCCCTCTCACCCTATTCCCTTCCTCTTGCTCCTTCTCTCAATCGTCCCCATCATCATCATCGTCATCTTCATCCTACCCCACACAAAGGCCGCCGATCCTCTCTTCTGCTCCACATAATCACAATCGTCCCTGATCTCCTCTTCCTCACCCTCCTCCTCCTCATCTTGCTTCTCCCCGTCTTTCTACTCATCAACTCCATCTCGTCCACCCTCATCGTCCACATCTTCATTCTGCCCCTCCGCCGATTCCTGGTCATCCTCATCCTACTTCTCCTCCTCCTCCTCCCCCTCCTCCTCCTCCTGTAGCACTGAAGCACTATCCTCCTCCTCCTCTTCCTCCTCTTCCTCCTCCTCGTTATTATCCTTTTCTTCCGTCCCTCCTCCCGCCGTTCCCTCGTCCTCCCTCCCTCCTGCCTCCATCCCCACCCCTCCCTCCTCCCTCGCCTGCGAGGAGACAGAAAGGATTGCCCATCGAGCACGCAGATGCTGACAAGACCCTGGAAAGGAACAGCTGGCCGCAATCGAAGAGCGCAGAGCTACGAGGGCGCACGCAGAGCGACAGCTGGAGGGGGGGAGCCAGAGGGGGAGGACGGCGGCGTCCATGGAGAAGGAGCAACAGCAGCAGGAGGAATGCGGGAGGAGATCTCTCTCGATCGGGACTCCTTCGTCGCAGAGCTTGCGCCCCCCCCACCCAACACCGGGCACACAAGACACGAGTTCTGAGCTGTCCACAGCAAGCTG